CTGTCAGCTCTGCGCACCTGTCAGCTCTGCGCACCTGTCATTTCTGCACCCCTGTCATCTCTGCACCCCTGTCATCTCTGTGTATCTGTCAGCTCCGCGCACCTGTCAGTCATCTCTGTGTACCTGTCAGCTCTGCACCCCTGTCAGCTCTGCACACCTGTCAGCCAAGACTTACATCAGCCTGAACCAAACATCCTTCCCATGAGGGTAAGTTAAGGCCCTGGAGTCCTACAGGGTTTAATGTGAGACGGCAGAGCTCCAGCCTCAATGACTGAAATTTGAGTTAAGAGAAAAATAGAATCAAATCACAAGCACCTGATGCCCAACAAGTGGGGGGTGTTCCTTCTTAACCCCAGAGGCCTCGTGGCCTGGGCCTGGCAGAGCATTCTGCTCTTCACTCCCTGGCTACCGTGAGCAAATTATTCCCTTCTCCCGTGTCTTCTAAGAATGGAGAGAGTACCTGCCTCACAGGACTAAGGGGCAGCTCCCAGCACATAATAGATGCGTAACAAATAGTAGGTCCCTCTCTTCAGGTGAGCATTCAGCTGTGGCCGGTCCTGGCAGAGCCCAGCAGAACACCTTCTGAAGCGCTGGGAGCAACCGAGTTTTCTGATGGAATTCACCAGGTCTTAGCACTTTGATTATTCATCAGGTGACTGAGGCGAGAGGGCTGTGGGTTCCACAGGGTCCCTGTGGCTCCCTTGCTGCTGCAGTGTTACTGGTCCTAGCTGCTGGTTCTGCCCCACCTGTCACTCATGGACAGGGTCTGCTGTCTCCACCACCTGGGCTCCCATGGCAGTTCTGCTGCTGCCACCTTCTGAAGATCACGGGGTGTGTCCGTACGGTCTTCCTCCATTGTAAATGTCCCCCTCGGTGCCCCATAAGCCTTGCCCTCTGTGCTCTGGCACAGGGGAGGTAGGGAGAGAGCAGAAGAAAAGCAAAGCCAGACTTAGGTGTTTGTTTTGATTTTATTTTGCGGGCAAGGTATGTGGTGGCATTTTACTGTTTAATGTCTGCTTCTAGGGAGTCTGCCATCTGCCTGGGAGTAATGGCTGCAGCTCATTAGTCACCAGCGAGCTAGAGCCTGGCTGTGCAGATTCCAGTAAATAAGATAACAGATGCTCGGCGGGGCTGCAGGGACAGAGCCAGCCCATGGGCTGCAGGCGTGGCCAGGAGCTGCCTCACCACTGTGCTGCAGGAGTGGCAACTTTCAGGGGTTCCAGGCAGCCCAGGGTGGGCCCTGGAGTGGAGGGCTGTGGAGTTGGGGTCCCCTGCTCTTCCCCAGCCCGGCTTGCCTTTTCTTTTTGGTCCTGGGCTCCTGGAGTCTGGGGGCTCCTGGGACCGGGTTTGGCTGCTGTTTGGAGACAGAAGCAGCTGCAGGACCCGGACTGAGGATGATGAGAAGCAGGAGGAGCCTCAGAACGCCCGCGGGCTTTTCTCTTCTCATCCCCCAGACAGCTGATGTGTTCAACCTTAAACCAAGACGTGCTTGCTCTGCACGCTGCGTTGGCTAAGTCACATTCAGAATCGTGTTTTAACTGGGGGTGGAATTGGAGCTGACATGTGAGCATCTGGAGGTGTTCTAAGGCTTTTCTGGAAGGTCTAGGGTCTACTTTGCTGTTGTCAGAAGAGAGGAGTGGGGCGGCTTGTGTGAGAGAAAAAGC